GCGCGGTAGCGGGCGTTGGCAGCGCCACCTGGCTTAGGAACAGCGCGTCGCCCAGTGTACGATACTCGTTCACCTAAATCATTCACTTCATGAGAGTAACAACGAATGAAAAGATGCATTGAATGAAATTGATTGGTTTGTCTGCATCCTATAACACGGGTAGTGATTCCTTATTCCTGATACTTAGTATTTTATTATTATATATTATAATTCCCTGGTACATATTTTATCTTTTAGTTATTGCTGCACGCAGAATCATTAAGTGGTCACTAAGGTCACACCTAAGTGTACATTTCTAAATCTCCACTAAGGTATTACTTAGTCTTATTAGTGAGTACGGTATTAAATATTTTACTACTAGCTTTCGCTCGCGACTCCGTCCGCGTGGAATTAAAAAAAACAAAAGTGAATAGCATATGTGTTCTTCCAGACTATCCTCTACATCTATACCAAATTTCACCGAAATCTGTTCAGCAGTTTAGGCTACAAACTCTAAAAAACATCCATCCATCCATCCATCTAAACTTTCGCATTTATAATATTAGTAAGAAGTAAGATAGTAAGATCTAAGATTGACTAACATCCGGATCCTCTACATCCACAGGGTTGAGATGCAGGTCTATAGAACCGCCAAGGTAGCTGAACACCATCTCTCGGATGAGGTCGTTGCACTCGCACTCCAGGTACTGGTCCGCGAAGAAATGTCCAGAACCGATCACGAACAACTTGCCTGAATATTACATGTGTTTACTAGCTTTCGCCCGCGACTCCGTCAGCGTTAAAATAAACAAAAGTAAATAGCCTATGTGTTCTTCCAGACTATCCTCTACATCTGTCAAATTTCATCGAAATCTATTCAGCAGTTTAGGCTACAAACTCTAACAAACTTTATCAACACAAACTAGGTAACAAATGTAACTCTTTCATTTTTTCATTCTTTCTTTCAGTTTTATATAAATAACTTTATTAGCGCGCAAACGTTTGACAAACCATCGCACAACTGTTTAGTCACTTTGATTCCTGTAAGATATATGCACATTACTCGAATTTTAGTTGTGCAACTAATCAGTGGTGCGATAGTTTAGTCTAAGGTGTGCGACATCTTACCCCCGCTGTCCGCAGTGTATAAAGCCGCGATTGGTCTCTTCACTGGATAACAGAGGTCGCTACTGGACAAG